TATTTGTCGAGTACTGATTGGTACAAGGGGTCTATGGTGTGCTTAATCGTGACTGGGGATAACCTGCAACCAGAACAAGGAGTTACGCAAACAGATAACTTAGTGTTTCCGTCTATTAACTTTCGTGAGCGTGTGTCGATGAGTAGATTGTGGTGTTGTAACAGGTCTATACCAATGATTGGCATAGAGACATCTGTAAACCCACGTTAAGGTAGACGTACCTTTTACCGTAAGTAGCGATCGGCTTTCCGTTTGCCGTTTGTTTGTAAACTTAAAACAGACTCGCGAAGTCTGTCGTCGGGATTTGCTGGAAGAACGCTAACTTCTGCGCCAGTGTCGACGAGGTAGCGAACTTTCGTAGTCACATCCGTGACATATAAGAGGCGGCTGTGTTCGCCGGCTACGGTTGCCGTTAACGCGTGCCGGCTGGGAAGTTTCCCGAAATCTTATTCGTGTCAGTCGATTTTGAAGTCGTATAATTGCAAGGTTTCCTGCAATTTCTGGAAAACTTACCGTACTGGTTATGATACCAGCACCAGTCGGGATTGTCTGTCTCTCGTGGTCGAGAGCCAGATCGCTTACGTGAAACGCTTCTACGCGGGGTTTTTGACCGACTACGGTCATTGCGAACTCTAAGATATCGTGTAAGCGTGTGACATAGTTCGGCCATGTCAGTCGAGGTCGATTGGGGTTTTTTTTGACGGAAAAAACCTCGGCCTTAGAAGATCTAGTGATTTCCAAGATTTGATCGGCAGATGCAGCTAGTTCATCTATGGCATTGTTTTGAAATGAAACAAGCACTGCCTGCACCTGTTGAGGGAGTTTAGACAAGAAAAGTTGTCTAAATAGGCCATCATCGAAAGTTCGTTGGCCGATGACTTCTCTCATTCTAAACAACATGTCCGTCGCAGCACCATGTTGCAAGTCGATATTGTTAAGGAGTTGGTCTAACCGTTGTCGATCAGTTAGGTCTCCTCGTTTTAAAATCGATAGCTTAAGCGTTTCGTAAGGTTCGGGAACATCACTAGTAAACATACTAGGTGTTACGTACCTGTTAAACTCGCGCGGTAACGCCTTAACTACCGCGAGGAAACGTGTGCGCGAGTCCGTGATTCCGTTCATGCTAAAATCGGCTTCTGCGTAGCAGAACCAGGACTCGATATTGTCGGGCCAAAATGGCGTTAACTGAATCGAAATAGGAGGAATAGACTTAAACTTAAGAACCTTAGGAGAGTTTTCCGTCATAGTAATATAGATAACGAAAAATGTCTAATTAAAATATATCCGAGAAAAAAAATTCTCGAAAAGAAAGTATATCACAATATATAAAATTCAAATAAAGAATAACAATGAATAATAATATTCCAAAATGGAACAGACTGACAGTATATTGACTTGGTGTACCAGATCACGTCGGGTTCACCAATGATGATGCAACGGATGTTCTAGTTTTACAACTAGCTACCAGTAGCACCTTCTATATTTGATCGTTCCCAGTCAGATAGAAATCAGAAGTCAGACGAGAAGAGGCAAGAAAGATATATTTGATTCGTTACCAATATATCGGGGACCTTTTCTATGAGCTGGCTAATGAAACGTAGGAGCTGTGTCCCACGCCGTGTTGAAACGTGATCTGGTGCGGATGCATGACCGAAAGCCTTCAGCTAAACAAGTCCACTTAAACACGTGGTCAGCATCCAATGTCGAACACTTAATGAACTATTGATTTTGGGGAATTATTGACAGCTACACTGACCACATTGTTTTAAGTGGATTTGTTTAGCTGAAGTCGTTCGGTCATGAATCCGCACCAGATCACGTTACGACTCAGAGTGAGAAACAGCTCCTACGTTCAATAGCCAGATTAGAGGAAACGCTTCTCGATATATTGATAACGGATCAAATATATCTTTCCTACCTCTTCGCATCTGACTTCTGATTTTAACCGATTGGGGGACGATTCGTATATAGGTGTTACTGATTCATAGTTGTCAAACTAGAATACCGGTCGTATCTTCATAATAATTCAAAAAATTACTTCATGTAATTCCCTCCCATCAAATTCATTAATAACCAGCTTTAATGAATGACTTCCTGATAGAATAACCAAGTTAAATTATCATGAAGCAGATCACCTCTTATAGAATAATTTATGTACTATTGCAATCCTCATTGGTAAACCAAAATTTCTGTTTCATTTTTCTGTGCGTGGAATTTTAAGTAGTGCGTCAACACACGGGCAATTGATTTCTCTCAAAGCTGGTGGCGGCACAGTCGAAAAGACATGCCACGGGTTCTCGCTCACATGTTACCATTTATGAATGTTATATATCTTGCTAATATACAGCCACAAACAGTTCTAGTGATTATAAGTATAATCGTTTTCTACTGAACTGACATTATAATGTAAAGTGTCTGAGAAAGAAGGATATATGAGTAACAATTGACGTTGATGGCCTTTTCTCCCTTCTTTCTGAACATTTACAGGATATGTGTATAACATTACTGCAAGCGCCACGTAAATTAGTCAAATATTTTTCATAAGTAAAGCGATGCGTGTTTGTTTTGAGCATGGTAACTAAAACAAGTCATAGCTAATACTAGTTTATGATATGTCTGTTATAGAGCTGACAAATTAATTTCTGTTAACAAAACCCGAAATCACTGAGCAAATCATAAAATTTTGATGTATATTGACGAGTAATATCTAATTAGTACTTACCAGTTATTTCATTATTGTATGTGAATAGTGAATTGCTAATGGTATTATGAAAGTTGTGATTGGGTTTTTCTCGGATTTCATATTACCAATTAAAGTTTTTGAATCCGTTTATTTGGTGCCTGCAGTTTGTTTGTTAACACCAAATAACTAGAAGAAATTCTAGAAGGGTTTGAAAATGAAGAGCAGTGTGCACAGTAAGCAAGACACAGGTACATTCTTTTAGCTACTATTTCATTTACTTATTGAATTTGGTACTGATAACGAAGTTTGATCGTTTGTTTCACAATTTATTTGTTGTTTTTCAGAATTGCATGAAACTGAGAAGGTCCTCATACGTCTTCTGTTATACAACTTATAACTTTTGTCAACTAATTGAAAGGCTCAAACCTTTCTAATAATCAAGTCTCTGAACGTGAACAACTTAGCAAATTTTGAATATGGAAGTTTATGTGGAGAAACAATTTACAGATTGACGATTACTGTGTTTTATAATGACTACCCTCACATTTATTCATCTAATGAATTATCTAAATATAAATATAGCAGCTGCACAGTATTTTGCATTATAAATCTTGTTAGTATGTGTAATTATAGTCTTGTTCGGCACTAATACTACTTTGATAAAAGACCTAGTCCGAAAACGGTAAATTTGTCACATGATTGCCTGGTCTGTAAGATCTTACGTGGAAGTCGCATCACTGTCTACAGTGACTCATGGTATCGTGATAATTAACAATGATACTTAGTACTTCTGAAGAACACATTTATGTTTGGGATAGAATAACATATTTAATGTGAATAGAAATAAGTCAAACATAATGAGCACGTCTGCAAGGCTGAGCCTTGCCATCCTATTGAATGTCTCCACACTCACCACTGCCGACCTTCTCTAGGTGTTATATGTCGAATATACATCTTTTTAGTCATTATATACTTGACTTCGAAGACAATGTGGTTAGGAAACAGTGCCACTCCAAGTATTCGTCCGAATATTCTGTCACACTGAAGAAACCTATGCATGCAACACACCGTTTCAGCGAAACGTCGAAACTGATGCAGTACTACAAGTTTTCGTAACGGAATGGGTTCTTACAAAGCAAACACTTAGTAGTTTTTAATTTTCATAAACAGTTACCCTTTATGATTATCGGTATATCTCCCCATTAGACTACGAAGACTAAAATAAAAATTGTGCAAACGTTTACTGGTGTATCATTACTGCTGGTCAGAAGCAGAAACATTTGATGTGGAAAAATCAGTTTACAAGTTGGATACATAGTTAAGTTAAAAATACTACTACAATAACTTCTTATAGCAAACAGTTCCTGTCACGTCTCCACACTTTTTTATATTCAGATCCATTTTTTCTATCGTAAAGAATACTACACAAAGACAAGCGTTAGAGCAACTACAGTCTTACCTACTTATTTATGATTCTTAACTAGAAATGGGCTTCGTTGAATCTGTACATAGCGTTTGCTTAGTCTGTGTAGTGAAATTGTTATTATGGAGGGTGTGAGTGTTATCTATCTCCCATCAACTGCAAAGTCTGAGAATATAATGAACTATACAGTTTGTATTTCGCAACTGAGTGAGCTTACGTGTAAGAGCTCGTCTTCTTATGTATGCCAGTAGCATAGCTTTCGCTCATGCATCCGCACCAGATCACGTTACGACTCAGAGTGAGAAACAGCTCCTACGTTCAATAGCCAGATTAGAGGAAACGCTTCTCGATATATTGATAACGGATCAAATATATCTTTCCTACCTCTTCGCATCTGACTTCTGATTTTAACCGATTGGGGGACGATTCGTATATAGGTGTTACTGGTTTATAGTTGTCGAACTAGAATACCGGTCGTATCTTCAATGACAAGGACACCAGCATGTCACAATTTATCCACGATCCAGGTTACATCTGCTCACAATTCTTCTTGCTTTCAGAAAAACAGAACATGAAGCCGTCGACCAGAATTATCCCTAAAACTTACCGAAACCGGACAAAAATTCCCCCAAAACGGGGAGATTGGGAAGTTACAATGCAACAATCGATCCAACGTGATCACTACAAGACAGAAAGAGCTAAATCAATGTTCTTCGCAATGATTTTGTGGTTTCGCTGCAGAAAAAGACCACTTATATATATGCGAAAACCTGATATTCGTGCAACCCAACGGACACCCAACAGACCCTCGTCAATGGAAATACGGTATTATCGTCTCTTGTCAGGTCGTTCAAGGTCATCGAAACAGAACGGCGGGCGACTTTGAAAGTGTCTGACTTTTTTTAACCGTGCAGCTGGTGGGTATATGTAACACGCTAGTGTTTTGGATTAAGCATTAATGGGTGAGTCGAAAAGTGTTACTTCACGCAAAGCTTTTCAATTAGGGTTGGGATACTTATTGTGGGGAATATCTCTTCTTGTACTACCGTCCTGAAACCTCACAAAGCGTGCAGATTAGTAAATATATATACTTGATACATATATGTGCAAAGTTAATTTCGCATTTTTACTAAATTCTATAAACTATTCAAAACTGATAGTGGTGATTTTCAGTATTTCCTAGGGTTTAACTCCATAACAAGAGGCAACTAAATGGATAGAAAGGAAATATCATAGGCAACATTCTTCAATTAACCTCTTTGTCCCTTCCCACCTACAGTATGTCGTTTAAGAAAGTAACCAAAAATATTCGGAGCCACTGGCAAACGGTTAGTCCCCTCAGGTCATTTACTAAGATTGGAACTCATAAAATCAAGAGAACATTTACGAATATCTGGGAACATGAGCTAAAACTTTACATTATAGTTCGTTATCACTAATTACCTTGAACGTTCTAATGCTTAACATAAGCTCACTAAAGTTCTTAGCTGGTTTTTCGAAGAGCTTTATAATATTAAGGGGTTTTGTTCACTCTTGTAATCAAAGTGAAGGGAGTCAGTATTTGTTCTTCTGAAAAGTCTTGTAAGCCTGTGTGCTTTATACAAGCATAGTGTCCTCCAAACGTTTTGGCATTCTCCAGTAGGATACTTAGTTTGGCTTGCTTGGAAAGCACTTGTTGTTTATCGATCATGACTTAGCTATTTGCCCGTACGGCCAGACTATAACTTGTGGATGGGCCAATAAGAAGCTTTTGATAAATTTCAAACGAACGGTTTACAGCGGATCGATCGAAGGTCGTGCATAAATTATAGTCTCACCATATTTTTGAAGCATGTCAAGTGAAGAATTTAAATCAAACCGTACAATGGAAAAGGTGTATTAATAAAGTCTGTGTTTGGGCGTTTAAGCAGCAAATATTCCGATTGCATACCCTGGTCACATTATCTACTATGACTTCAGTTTTGTATTCAATCATCAGTCTATTTATGTTGTAACCCTTTTTGCAATTATGCCTCCTAATATTTTCCCACTAACTTAATTGGTTTTCCATTCATAGAAACTTTAATCCCCCAATCTTTGCACCATTTATTTAGCAACTGCGTAACTACAATACATGGGTATGATAATTTACCTCACTAAGTGGAATGTTCAGAATTAACTGAGTGGGCTATGATACCCAATACTATCCCCCATGTGTTTTTGCGGTATGCAAATGGTATTCAAGATGTTTAGTTTTCTAATATTTTGTATTCTATACGAAATGTGTCTAGGTCCACTTTTACCTTACTATTAATATGACTAAGTTTTTGAGCGAGTTCATTTCACTATTTGAGGTATTCCCGTCACCACCTGTGTACTTAAGTTCTCGTCGTCTGCATCAGATTGTATGCTTGTTATCATATCCCAAATATTTCACTGTTCAAACCTATCATTCAAAGAATCCTTATTCAACTTCTCTTTTCAACCGTAGTGTTTAACATAGTAGGAATATCTATGTAGTATGGTATGTTATCTTGCACCATATTCCGTAACTTCTGCCAAAAAATTACGCGAAACGTGTCCTGATATTAGCAGCGACATTTGAAATAATGTGTAGTTACTGTTAAGTATTCTTAAACTATCAACCAAAGAAGGCGCCACGAAACAACACTAATAAATATTGTGAATGTAGTAAAAGTTGGTTAACATTTTGTTATTTTTTCACTTATTCCATTCACCAAAGATATACGTTTAAATTCACATAATTTAAATTTACAGATCCATTACATGCTTGTGTTTTCCATTTCATTAATTCCACGCAACTTCACCTACTAGATGTAGTTCCATTCCAATAAATGCAGCCTAAAATGACACCCTGATATCATACACCAATTTTCAACTTTCGACGTGGGGTGTGGCTTTGTATTATGGATTCTATAGTTGAGTCAGAGCTCATGGCAAATTATTTTCGAAATTGATAGCCTTAAACTGTGTGTGTTGTAGTTGTTCGCTTTCTTCATTCTGATTTAGCTCCACTGTTGACATTCCTTTAGAAATAACACTCGTTCGACTCGTCAGAAATTAATGTTTGATCAGGAGATTCACTTATTGACTTAAAATATGCAGAAGACACCTAGAAAGGGTGGTTTGCCGAGCCCCTTACGCAACAATGCAACCATGTTTGGGATGCGTTTCTCCATCTAAATGCAGGATCACTACTGGTTTTCTTCAATATCTGGACTAATAGTAGAGAATGAAGCAGTTTGGCGTTTCTGTTACTTCACTTACCCTGGAAATTTCGTCGACCATAGTAAGTTGATGTCTGATAATATTTCGTCACAAATCCGGAAATCTCGGTTGAGTTTAACCAACTTGGAACACTTGGGGACTAGGCAAATCATCCGTCTGATAACTAGAGGAAGAGTTTGTTCTACAGAAGTTCATATGGTCCTATTCTATGGCTATGCAACGTGACCTTGGAAGACAGAATATTCGTAAGTTATTAGTATTTGGCCACGAATGCCTTCAAAGCATTGCTTGGGCGCTTTGGGACAATTAATCTAGCAATCCGAAGTTTAGAACCAAAGTACTAGATAAATATGGCAAATTAGTTGACGAAGTGTTAACGGAACATAGTAGTGTCAATGTTATTATTAGGTTAAAAGCTCAGAAGCCGAGAACAACTCGTAACAAACCAACGACTGCCTGCTGGTTATATGGTGGTTGGCATTATGTACTTTTCTGTCCATTTAAGAAACATAAATGCCAGTTGTGCAACAGACGTGGACATAAAGAAGGTCATTTTCCACCGAATCGTACGTCTCAGCCTAAGAACAAACACAAACGTCCTCGACATGTAAAATTAGCTGGATCGAAATCTCTTTCTCTGGTAGCAGCCTTCCAAACAGACTATGACATTTGGAGAAAGTATGCTACTACCCAGATTAACGGCATATCAGCTCGTCTTCAAATTGACATGGAATCCGATATCATTCTAGTGTCTAGAGACATGTATAACCTGCTTGAGAAATTGCTAATGAAGCCATCTAAGAAACCCGACCATTGCTGCTACCCTGACATGGTGGTCGGGCTTGCTTATCGTGATGATCCAATCGAGCTATACTGGTTGGAACAATCGTTCCTCAAGGTCCTACCATGCCAGGTAGGTCAGTTGAAGAGCGGTAAGACTAAAAGCAGCAAACCCAAGGTTGGAAGGCGAAGTCTTACTAATGACTGTACAGAGGTGTGACAGCAGTAAGGTGTTTCCTTCAGACAACCAGCATAACAGCGATGCTGCCTTCCCACAAGGAGGAGTGGGGTTAGAAAAGGTCGACCCTAAAAATGCACACCTCGCCTTATCCCATGGATTTCCGTCTCCGGCGGTAAGGTCCCAACAAGTACGAAGGTAACACGAAAATCACCTACAAAATGGTCGTGTGTGACCAGCCTCAAGCAGTTGTCCCTTGGGCACTACGGTTATGCTCCCAGGTCACTAGGACCACTTGTAATCCAATTTTCTTTTCAGGTACCTCTAAAAGAACCCTTCCACGGTTTGGGAAACCGGAAAGTGATAACTGCCCTCATGCCTTTAACAGCACTCAAGATCACTTTATTTATAATCAATCTTCTTCTTCAATTCCTATTATTCCTCCCACCTCGACTTTCAACACCAAACTTCCTCTTTCGGCTTCCTCCTCAAGTGTCACCATAATCGTAAGAAGACTCAGTCCCATGGTAGCTGGCGACCAACTATGGATTCTACGTCCTTTGTTTCCTTAGGATCCTGGGTCCCATGTGCACCATTGGTTTGGAGTCAGGGTTTCTCAACTTCCCTAGGTGGACCCTCCGTGTCCACCAACTCGGCTAAGACACCGGACATTCGCTTTTCGTTCTCTCAATTTCGTAAACAACACCCCCGCCTGAAAGAGGCAGTGAGTAGGACTTTTCTGGAAGTGGTTTTATGCACGTGGCCATGTGAGAGCATTTCGAGAGGGAGAGCTGACACTGCCCACTCTCAGCCTTACCAGGACATTTGGGGGCGAATAACCGTGCTTCAGAAATAACTATTAAAAGTGCGTCTGGGTTGCTAAACTAATAATGTGTTGTTATCCATGAAATTGCTAGCTTTACTATCTTTACTATAGTTCAATCTGTTTGGATCTAAAAACGGATCTAGAAGTAATAAATCTTCAACTGAAGTGGTTGAGATGTGTTACATATGTCTAACCACCCACCTCGACAGATGATGTTATGTGGTGTAGGAGTTGGCTGGAAGATATACTGATATGGTTACTACTTGTACTACTCTGGGATGTCTTGATAGTTCTACCTCTCTGTCCCAGTATAGTACGGCAACTTGGACCGATGGACACGTGTCAAGTTCTATGTCCTAAGTTGCATATGTTCCTACAGGATGTGTTAGTATATACTCATCACTTAAATGAAAATCAGCTTTTTTTACCTTCATGGAACAAGACATCCAAAGCAAAATTTGAGCTAAGCCTAGCGGCAATAGAGTATTTGGAAATTTTGGAAGGATCCTACCCATTCTGGACCCGCACTATATCGCTTGGAGAATCAAGTAAAAATGACAGATGTCATGAACACTAACCCTACAAATTTTTCGTACATTGTTAGTTCACCGTGCTTTGAGTAAAGCAAAATGTATTACTAGAAATAGTCCTTCTACTAAGGATTATGTTACACTTATTTTATACAATTCATTTTCGAATATTTTTTGTTACTCTTTTCTTCTAGGTAGTTAATATCACCGAAGGAAATACGTTACCTCATTGGAAAGAGTTAAAAACAACTCACCAAGGAAAACTTTCTTAATATTGTCATTTACTAAACTATAACAGTTGTGTAATTATTTAAGGCCTATAGTATGTCTTCTAATTGTCTTTTTTTCGAATAACAGATAACTGGTGTATCAAATTATAAATATATCACGCTTCTAATCACCAGTGCTAAATTGTGACATTATCAAGAATGAGTGTACCAAAACATGAGAAAGTTCAACTAACAATATACGAAGCAGATGTAGTTAAATTAATCTTGGAATTTCTGGAAAAACGTGATCTAGCAATTTCTATGTTAGCCCTAGAACGAGAAACTGGACAAGTAAATGGACCATTCAATGAAGACATATTATTCTTTCGTCAGTTAATTTTGGAAGGTCATGTAAGTTAATCCCTGAAATATGTTGACCAGTTTAAGCCCTGATTGTGCAGTTATGATACCATCCTTGCCGGATGAACTCAGTCAAGTCTTACCATTTTACCGACGCAATAATGATTATTTAAAACTTGACTTCAATGGAAAAACCAACCTTGATGGTTAGTGAAATAGTCCCCAAATTGTTTGCGAACAGCTCAGTCAGGACTAATGTTCCAGTGATCAAGCACTTTCTAGTTATTCGATCGTAACACCTAGCAGATACATGTTTGAAGTTACATAGTTACAATATCCACCCTACTGTGGGGTTATCGAAGTAGGGAAACTAAATCTACCATTGAATCACACCTGCAGCTAAGCAACGTAAACGTAACGATCAGTACCTATAGGCAGTTTACTTCAGTATTTACCTGGTAAGTAGGATAAAACCTAGTGATGTTAAATGTGTGCTAGTGATTGGGACATCGTAACTACTCATACTGCAGAAGAATGCTTCTACTTAGGGAACCTGAACAGGAAACTGGATTGATGTTAATATCTCCATCAGTCTGACAGCTTCATCTCAGAGCTCGTTAGAAGACTGCTTGATATCAGTGACTTGTGGTCTTCCTAGGAAAATTTGTTTACAGTTTTGTATTGCTGGCTCTATATTTCATTATCTTCGTCACCAATATCGAAAGAAAAATATATTCTCTGTCTTAAAGACTGAGCTTTTTGTACGTCTACTTAAGTCTGTTAAAAATGTGACATTGAAGATAGGCAGGTGGTGGGTAAAGACGGAGAATGGATTTACGGGGTTATTTAATATGTAAACCCGACAACTGCCAACCTTGGCTGTTGTAGGAGTGGGGTGGAGTAAGTTAGCAACGTTCAAACCAATACGTCATCGGAACATGAATTTACTGGTTATTGGACAGACTTATCAGTCAGTCAGTCAGTTACAACGTAGAACTTCGTACGTACGTACATCAGTTCGAGTTGCCATACCACATTAGCACAGAGATGAAGTTGTCGATTCAAATCCCATATTGGTAGAAGTAGTAAGAGTATACCCGACTGTTGCTGCTACCTTGACATGGTGGTCGGGCTTGCCTATCGTGATGAAGCAATCGAGCTATGCTGGCTGGAACAACCGTTCCGCAAGGTTCTACCATGCCAGACAGGTCAGTTGAATAGCGGTGAGACTAAAAGCAGCAAACCCAAGGTTGGAAGGCGAAGTCGTACTGTTGACTGTACAGAGGTGTGACAGCAGTAAGGTGTTTCCTTCAGACAACCAGCATGACAGAGATGCTGCCTTCCCACAAGGAGGAGTGGGGTTAGAAAAAGTCGACCCTAAAAATGCACACCTCGCCTTATCCCACGGATATCCGTCTCCGGCAGTAAGGTCCTCTGAAGAACGGAGCTAACACAAAAACTTCCCACAAAAAGGTCGTGTGTGACCGACCTCAAGCAGTTGTTCCTTGGGCACTGCGGTCACGCTCTCAGGTCATCAAGACCAATTCTAACCCAATTTTCTTTTCAGGTACCCCTAGAAGAACCTTTCCACGGTGTGGGCAACCGGGAAGTGATAACTGCCCTCATACCTCTAACAGCACTCAAGACCACTGTATTCATTATCAATCTCCTTCTTCAATTCCTACTATTCCTTCTACCTTGACTTTCAACACTAAACTTCCTCTCTCGGTTTCCTCCTCAAGTGTCACCATGGCCAACTATTCTAGTGCGCGAAATACTGTCCCAGGTCTACTAAAACCTCGCTCCAAACTACACATTGGAGCCTTCAACGTACGTACCCTATGCCAAATCGGTCAACAGGCCTCCTTAGCTAAAACGCTAGAATCTCGTACCATTGATGTATGCTGTGTCTCCGAAACACGCATACAGGATCCCAGTGTGGTCATTCACTTGACCTCACCTCGTCAAAATGGACAGCCAACGAAATACACCCTCCGTGTATCTGGCGACCCGTTGGCTAGTTCTCGTGGACTTGCATGTGTAGGCATAGCACTTAGTACAAGGGCAGAACAAGCACTACTGGAATGGATCCCCGTTAACAGTCGCCTGTGTGCTGTCCGGCTAAATGGCTACGTAAGAACTCGGGAGGATAGGGACACACGTCGTTGCCTTTTCGTCGTTTCTGCCTACGCTCCCACTGACTGCAGCCATGATGAAGTGAAAGATGACTTTTACAGAAAACTCTGAGCTTCTTCAGAAAGCTAAGCGCTCAGACATAGTAGTCGTAGTGGGTGACTTTAATGCCCAGGTAGGCAGCTTGGATCAAACAGAAAGACATTTAGGTGGGTGTTTTAGTATTCCGACTCAACGGACCGATAATGGTGATCGTCTGTTGCAACTATGCTCAGACAATCGTTTATTTTTAGCAAGCACTAATTTTAAGCATAAGGAGGGACATCGTCTAACATGGCGACCACCTGCACCAAAACAACGATGAACTCAAATAGACCATATTGCCATCAGTCATCGTTGGAGAGGCTCGATAGAAGATTGTCGCTCGTATTGGAATACTTGTTTAGACTCTGATCACGCTTTAATACGAGCGCGCATTTGTCTGCGCCTCAATGGACGCAGGAAAAGTACACTAAGAAGACCCATTAGGATTGAACTGGAGGACGAGAAAGCCAAATCCGAATTCCAGAAACAACTGAGTTCACATCTAGGCAGTTCTGTAAACAAGACTGACACAGATACTGCTTGGAAACACACACGAACAGCTGTGGAAACAGCAGTAACATCTATTAGTCATTTAAACCATAGGGTTCCAAGAAACCAATGGATTTCTTCCAAGTCTATTTCACTGATGGATTCGCGTAAACTCATCCCACCAGGCTCTGAACATGACGAAGAGCGTAAAGAAATTAGATCTAGGTTAACTAAAAGTCTAAGGAACGATCGTGAGCAGTGGTGGGCAACGAAAGCAAAAGAGATGGAAAAGGCAGCGGCTGTAAGCAACACAAGGCAACTCTTCAGACTAATAAAAGAAACCGGAACTAAGAAGTCAAGTGTAAGTGAGACAATCTCCGAAAAAGACGGAACCCTTATCTGCTCTCAACCCAAACGTTTAGAACGATGGGCGGAACACTTTAAGGAGCAGCTTAGCTGGCCTTCAGCTACTGCACAACTACCCACTATTCCTAGAAAACCTGAGTGGAACATTGAAGTAGGCCCCCCGACCCTACTTGAAGTTCAAAAGGCTATAAGTAATCTGAAACGAGGAAGAGCAGCTGATCCAGATGGATTGGCTCCAGAGGTCTTTAAATATGGTGGTCCGATTTTAGCGATTAGGTCGACTAATATTCTGGCTAAAATCTGGGAGACGGATGTAATCCCATCCGACTGGTCACAATCACTGATTGTCCCAATATATAAAAAGGGGTCAAAATCATCCTGCGATAACCATAGAGGGATTAGTCTGACTAACATAGCATCTAAAATACTAGCCTCAATAATTATCGGGCACCCAACGAAGACTCGTGAACTGCAAACACGAGAAAATCAAGCTGGCTTCAGACCTGGTCGTGGCTGTATCGACCACATATTTACCATTCGTCAGATTTTAGAGCACAGACATGTTTATCGGCGTCCGACAATAATAGCTTTCTTGACTTGAAAGCAGCATTTTACTCTGTAGACCGAGAGGTTCTGTGGCAGTGTCTGTCATTGAAAGGTGTACCTGAGAAGTACATAAACCTTGTGAAGGCTCTTTACTCAAACACTACCAGTCGAGTGAGAGCTTATGGCGAACTGTCATATGATTTTACAACCTCAAGTGGTGTCCGTCAAGACTGTCCACTATCCCCATTTTAGTTTAACTTCATTATAGACCTGTTGCTGGAAATAACACTCTCGTCGACTGAATTTTCAGGAATTGATCTTCTACCAGGAGGTTCACTTATCGACTTAGAATACGCAGATGACATAGTCCTGTTTGGTGAAGACGCTGACAAAATGCAGAGTCTTCTGTTGGAACTCAGTAATAATGCCAGGATGTTTGGGATGCGTTTCTCCCCATCCAAATGTAAATTGTTACTCCAGGACTGGCCTGCGTCAACACCCGAACTAAGGATAGGGAGTGAAGTAGTCGAACGCGTGGACAACTTCACTTATCTTGGAAATCTGATCAGCCCTAATGGGTTGGTGTCTGACGAAATCTCAGCACAGATTCGAAAAGCTCGTTTGGCTTTTGCCAACTTACGTCGAGACGAGATATCCGTCTATCAATTAAAGGATGAGTATACTGCGCATCAGTGCGCTCTGTTCTACTTTACGGCTGTGAAACATGGCCATTAAGAGTAGAAGATACTCGTAGGTTACTAGTATTTGACCACAGATGCCTTAGAAATATTGCTCGCATCTGCTGGGATAACCGGGTAAGTAATAGTTTAATATAATAGTTTTTAATGTAATAGTTTTTAATTCTGCATTATTCAGTTAATATTTGAAATTTTTTTTTACTGAAATCACCGTTCAACGATACTGATTACATAATATTGACATTTTAAAAAAAGAAATCCATTTAATAAAATTATCTGAATAGGAGGCATAATGGAGGTGGTAATCAGTGAATCTAGAAAAAAAACTGGAATAGGTAAATGAATGTTACGCTACATTACGACCACTTGATTTCTGCTTCAACCACCAATCAATTTACATTTGTATAAGCTGCCTTTAGGCATATAACTATACTTAGAGAATACCTGTAAAACAATTTTTGCTTATATATCTATATCTATCTATCCATATATATATATATATATATATATATATATATATATATATATATATATATATACGTAAGAGATGAGAATAGCTGCCATTCTACTTCCTACATATAGTTTTTCTAATGATTACCGTTCTAATAAATTTCTTTCCTCAGACTGTGATTTACTTCCTGTATGAATATGATCTTATCAATGTATTTTTCATATCATCTGTGGTTTTTAAGAACTGCCTCCGTGTAACTAGGACAGCTGTAAATCTTGACATGACCTGAATCCAACACTGGCAAATTATAAAACTGTGTTTTAATTTGATTGATTAGATTCTTTTCTGTCCTTACTAAGTACTCCAGCTGATAACGTAGTGTTTTACAGTATATGGTTACATAAAATGTATCATCCTCCCCTATGTCTCAATTCCAAATTGCTCCACAATTTCAATTGATTTTTCTTCTCTTAAATCAAGTAGAATTACTTCCATCTCCTTATAGCTCCCGTACTCTATAACTTATACCTTAGTCATACTGACTAAATGTGTATCTTATTGCTTAGTTGTGTCTTATATGTTGTAGATTTCTCTCTATTATAAACGTAACACTTCTTGATTTTTGAATAAAACCACCTGCATCGCCACCATCACTAACAACAACAGCGGTGTTTGCGTATAATTTTGACGATCCACTATGTTGTGGTCACGCATTCACATATGTATTCCTGTCTTCGTTGAAAGTTAAATATTTTCAAGTGTTATGATATATATATATATATATATATATATATATATATATATATAAGCTTTTGAAATGAATGATGTAGTGTGTCTAAATTTGCCAATCAAATTCCAACTGAGAGAAAGATACTACACATTAGAAAGTGAACTAACTAATTGATTTTCAGCTATCTTATTAAAATATCGTACATGTTATCAGAAATATACTAGTCAATTATTATAGTTTACACACATACTACGCTCTTAATTACCTATTAAACAATAAAAACAGAGTTTTTTTCTCACTTATAATTTAATTAGATTTATAACTGCATGCACCAACATTTCACAACGTATTATATATATTAATATACTGTGTTAATTATATTGGTATCCCTCAGAAATTAGACTTTTTCATACTTAAATATTTAGATAAGCCCAGTAACCCACAGTTAACTAGTCTTTCATTTCATATTTTCTATACATGATTGAATAATATAATTTAAGTGTTAACCACCATTAATTTTCAATTTCTTCTAATAGATGCGCGCCAAATCTTCATTTCACAAAACACTATATACTTGAAATGGATGGAGAGTAGTAATAAATTTTCGGTATACATCATTAAAATACTTAATTACATAAGTAATATTTATATTTTATCATCTAGTGTTTATAATCTGAATGATCGAAAACTAACTTTTTTTCATTCTATAAATCATTCTAAAACGATACTTTGGTATTATATTTGGATTGAGAAATAGCGATATTTATGTAGTTCTCAGCTTTCATGTAGGATTATAAACTTCTAAGTTTTCCACTTATACTTGTGTTAAAACAAAGTAATCAAACGAAATATTATATAAATAACGAATAAAACAGATGGAGTGGCTGTCAACAACGAATCGATATCTTTGTATATTATGAGATAGTCATGTATTTGTCAATTTTCATTTTCATGATGATGCAATACATGAATAAGTTTAGTCCAGACGGAATATATATATATATATATATATATATATATATATATATATATATATATGGAATGCAGATTATTTGTGAAATATATACACTTAGTCTCCAGTCTTCCATTTGTATCTACTGTGTGTTCCGCAACTCACGCTAGTTGTAGACTGTCTTCTACAACTTCTCTTCTGGTTTCACAAATAGTCCGAACTCGCCATACATTTTGCTTTCTGAGACTCTTGTCTTCGAATACCGACTGCAGCAACTATGGGGTGCTCCGCTGCTTGCTATTTATAAGCTATCTTGTTAGTAGTTTCCACCGCAATAATAATAGAAAAACAATCCATTTTTCGATCGGTTCAGGTCGAATTTTGAGGAAACGTAATAATTTTAGATAAAATGCAACCATACATTGTTTTTGTATGTAGAAGTGATGGATCATCGGTTGTTATTTATTCCGTGACCTTTATTGTTGTACTTGATTAATTACTTGTTATCACATAAATAACTCAATTTTTTGTTAATTGATTTATAAATGGATGATAGCCTAAATTCCTTATTATGTGGTTCTGTATTCTGAATGTTTCTTTTTTCAGTTATGATTCAGAAATCATTTCTATGAGCTAATTATCAGTTCGATCATCTTTATTTGTACCCAATAAGTTTATTAATGTATTCAGTTGTTTTAACAATTATTTCTTCATTTTCTGTTGTTGTAGTGGGATGATGCACTTGACTATTTGGAACCATTACGAGGTCCACCTGTTGAGTTAGACCTTAGAAAGCCCCGATTTTTATTATTAAAACATAAGTACCTAGAATTATTGTGTCTACGTGATGTAAATAACTTGGATGGTAATAATTCAGCTAATGGGATCACCGGTGCTAATGTTAATGAAAATGATGTAGATCATGGTGTTGAACAGGTTAGTGTGTTACAAAATTGTGTTTCATCATACTAAAACCTAAAATCATTTTCAAGCTATGATTAAATGTTATCGGTTAACTTAAGATAATTACGTTAATCAATACTCTATTATCCTGTCCGACATATGTATATCTTTTTCGTAAACTACTAACTAGTTACATTGAGCTAATCTAATTTTTACTTGATTAGTTAACATGGATTCATTAAAAAATGCTCCTGAGACTATATGTTTTAACGATAATGGTCACTTTATACAATTTCTGTAGTTTTACAAACACTATTGAATTGCCATTTCTAAGTTTTGTTTCTCTATATTTGAATAAATTAGATTTAAAATGGAAAGCATCAGAACCCCACAATAGATTATTTATCAGTTTACAATATTCGTTATTCTCTTATAAATAACACATTGTTCTATTGTTATTTTTGTTATTCTCTAAAATAAATGACAACAGGTTATTGATTGTTTGAAACAGTTAGAACCTGAATGTGAAACTCAAGCAGAATATCGTGATTTAACTCTTTTGTTGACTTTAACACGATTAGACCAACATCCGGATTATCGTTATTGGAATCCAAGTTTAGGCCGTCTACAATGCTTTAATCAGGTTAGTTTTAATAATATTGATAAATAATTATATTAACTCTTTTCTCGCCCACCCTTCCTTCATTTATCTCTCTTCTGCTGCATTGAGCACGATTTTCAGTGTGCGTAAATAAACACTGGCTGATTGTTACAATTTATGCTCAAACGGTACTAAAATAGCATAGTTGACGTTGTATATTCTCTACTACTTGGTATTAACCACATTTCTATGCATGTTGTTTAGCATATAGTTAGAAAAAACTACCCTATTTACGTCTTCTTTGGCTTGAATAGTTAATTGGAAAGATTGCTTATCAATTCATTTCAATGTAATGTGAGACATCAGCATGTGTATAACCACTGGTCTAACGGTTGTAATGGGATGAATGATACTAAATATTTAATAAATAGTTAGAAATACATGTTCAACCATTTTTTTAAAAATCACACTAGTTAATACTGTCTACGTAAAACTGTTGAAGAAGGTAGCGGAAAAAAGACGAAATACAATGGTTGACTGAGTACTAATCATCGTCATGTGGACTAAGTGTAACGACAGTCAACCAGCGATATCAATCAAAATATGCTGGGAGTGATGTATGTTAGTAGCAGTGCTCTCAGTGATATCACATTTCCCCTTGACGAAAGTGTTTCAGGTATCCTACTGTGAAATTATTTCATATGTAACAACACTCTCGTATAATTTAATTTTGGCTATCAATAACTACAAATGTAAAAATGCAAATTAACAAAAATTATTTAGTTGTAGTAATTTCACCTAAGAGTCTTAACCGTCTATTTTATCGTTTACAGAGTTAAAATGAACTTGAAACATTGAGTTATTATTATTATTATTATTATTATTATTATTAGCTTGATTCAATATTATATTATTTGGTACAAAATCGAATTCTCAGCATAAAGTATTTCAACATATTTACGTTTCTTATTTCTTCGTTGCTCCTGATGATAAACATTCAGTGATCGCCAGTTGGATGTCAGAAGTTCAGTCAATCGACATATGAATAATGTATATCCTTTTTTGCTGCATGTTCCCAGCAAACACGACATCTCTGATTAGACCTTTTCTAACTTTTACAGCGAAAGGTTGTACAGTTTTCAGAAACGCACCGGAATAGGTTGTGTGCTTAATAGCCATAATGATGTATTAAAACAAACAATATTAGATAACTTGTTGAAATATATAGATGACGGGAAACAGGTAGCCCAGATGTTTAAGCAGGCCGCTTAGAGACCTGGATTGAAAATGTGAACTAAACGGTCATAAGTGAATAATCAATCTCTTGTTGATGCCAGTTTCTAATAATCCACTTTCATTGAAAAAATTTTGAGTTGTAGAGAAAATTTATATTACATCATCAGATTATGTGTACCTGTCCATATACCATCAATTACTTGATTCGCCCCTTACATAAATCTAACACAGGGCGAGTAGTTTTAGCTTAATTGTCTTTTGTTGTGGAAAGATTTGGGTTGATTTTGAACTGTCTGAAGATAACAATCTTGCACTAGGATCTTAAACTCGACAACGAAGCAATACTAAACGTCAAATTAGTTTCTCACTACCTCATCATTAGTCTAAATCATTATATTGTAGAGAGATTTGTTTATTCTAACTGACACAATTAGAAAAATGTGAAATCCTATGGGAATCATTATTTATTTATTTATTTAAGCACATAAAAATTGGTACAATGAAGCACCAGATAAATATGCGCCTCACAAATCTCATTCGATTTGTGTGAGGGCTGTGATACTACCCAGGTGCCCAGACTGAAGCAGGTGGTTTTCTTAGGGGGCCACACCCCGAGCCTTTGACCTGACTGTCTGATCCACAAGGCAGTGGAGCATCGTGAGGAGATGCAGTCCCATGGTAGCCGTTGACCAATGACAGGTTCGTCCGCCATTCGTTCCATCAGGATACTGGAGCCCATATGCACCATTGGTTTTGAATCAGGGTTTTCCAACTCCCCTAGGTGGACCCTCCGTGTCCACTAACCCGGTTAAAGCGCCGGACATTCGCTTTTCGTCCTCTCACTTTCGTAAACAACACCCCCGCCACGAGAAGGCAGTGAGTAGGACTTCCCTGGCAGAGGCTATATATTCGCTGGCCATATGAGAGTATTTCGAGAGGGAGAGGTGACTGTCCCCACTCACGGCCGTACCAGGGCTTCGTAATCCTTGACTCATCCAGCTATCCAAAAGCGAAAATAAGTATGAGTAAGAAGTCAAATAAGTGTACACATAAATCATGCGTATTTATGTATGTATACGACATGCTAGAGCGGATCAGACAAAGACATGTGGGGGGTGGTAACCTTGGCTTGGTGAATAATTCACCTACACACAAGATGCTGTCCACACTTGCATTTCTCACTTTCAAGTGACCTTGAGATAGCCTGTGATTAATTTGCAAACGTCTGGACTATCAATGGTATTTTATGTAAGCTTTTTTTCACTTTTGTATATGTAGAGTAAGATTTTTTAGCTTTTGTCATTTCTCTTTTGTTCGGGTAGCTCGCGGTAGTATCTTTCATCTTTAAATAAATATCAGGTTTGAAACCTTTTCGACTTTTTTCTTTATTACTACGTTATATTAGGCGCAAGGTAAGATTCTACATCAATATAATAGCTAAAAATGATTACGTACTTACTTACACCTGCAACCCCTCGTGGAGCATAGGCCACCCACCGGAATTCTCTAACCAGCTCTGCCCTGGGTTCTCTTTTCCAGTTATTGCCAAGTGGTATTCATTTTTTTATATCTGCCTTCGATTTCCGACTCAATTTATTCTCTAGTCTCCCCCTTTTCCTTTTACATTGAGTATTCCAAGATCATAGAGCTGATGAGATATCTAAGAATAACATCAGTTGAGATTATTCAATATGCAAGTAAAATCATAGATTTGAAAGTACTAGGAATGATTTTATGAAATAAGGGACAATGCATGAAACGAGTTACCAGTATTTTTTTTGAATACATAAATCTGTGTTGAAACGTTTAATTTCTAATTTTAAAAAAATTTAAAAGACTAGTGGGTGTCCTCTGTATTGTTTTTTGTTTCTTTTATTATTTCCATTTTTCTTTGGGAACATTCCAATTTAGATCTATCCGCTCTTGCAACCATTTATTCAACTTAGTAAACATTCATCTAGTGGTCAGGCATCAACTGATGAAAATGCTCGTGGTGACCGACTTTTACGACTACTTGTTAAAGGATTACTATACGAAGCCTGTGTAGATTACTGTGCTCTTATGGCAACAGAACAGAAAGCTCAAATGCAGATAACTGGAATTCTTGGAGGTTTGTGTATTTGTTGACAAAAAATATTGTTTGGTCACCAATAAATGATCACTAGTGGTATTAGGTAACCGCAAACAGATTAAAATTGAAAGTATATCACTGGATACCATTCCATAGGTCCTGATTATTAGACGTTCTTCACGAGAACTGAAGGTCCTAGGTTTAATCCCTAGTACAGTTGTGGATTCACATTGCTTGGGAGTCCTATACTATAATGAAGCAGCTGTCTGGTTCTCCCTGGTTTTCAGTGATACTGTAAATGAGATCAACTTATGACGAATAATATCTACAAATTAAACCAATTTCCACAAAATGCCTTTACTTAGATGGTTGTGGAGCTTTGTATTTTGCGTTCAGTATTAGTTTTTCAGCTGATGTTTCTCCAGTTTTAACTCTACTCTCTCTGGTTTGAGAATCTGCGCTTCATATAAGGGTACGTGTTAGGTAAAATATTTGTTTTCCAATCAACAACAATTTTTATTCCAGCTAAGGAAGATCCCATTCAAATGTATTCAAAAATATGCTCAACAGTGAATATCGACATTAACTTAACAACGAATATGAAAATTACCCTGTTGAAAAATATATCCTATTTATATGCACATTGTTTTCAAAAGTAGTGATTTTATTTATTTAATTTCTGATGACAAATGGTGTCTAGCACAGTTAGATTATATACACTCATAAACTAGAAAAAATTCTTTTTTTAACTTTTTCCTAGTGACAACAAATAGTACTCGATATAAATGCAGCTAGGTTGACATCTGTAATATCTTCATAAAGATTATAAGCTACTTTTTAAATGTAAGAATCATTGTTGAATCATGACATTCAATATTGTAGCTATCTCAGATCATGTCGCTGAAACTTTTATGATCTTATTAAAAATGACCATCCTTAGATGTCAGCGACAGAATATAGAGTTTTATCAGACATACTCAGAACGATCAACTTTCACGCTTTCATCTGTTAGTCAACGTGTGCATCAGATAATTAAGCCTCGATTTTCTAGGCTTGTGAATGATCTACAAAACTATAATCTTACTGTCATTTATTCTTTAAATGGATTTTAATCACGTTTACTTTGTGCCAAATGCTTAATATATAAGTATATACAAGGCGACTTTGTTTATAAAGCCTATTGCATCAATAAATTCGGATTAAATGAGTACTCGTTACTAGACTACACTGATCGTCCTAAGTCATGTAATCTAGCGCGATCCGAACTACCCATAAATTATTCCTTTGTTATGACACAAACATAAGATTGAACTGCTCACAGTACGATGTTATACACTAGTCGTTTCATAACCAGATTAGTTCTATAATAGTACCTAAGGACATCTGTTTGACCGCTAGATGAATCAACTATAGAATAAATGTTACACTAAAACGACCTATCTACCTGTTAAACTAGTCACTGTCTATTGAAGAGGCTCTATATGACAATCAAAACCAATAACTCATTTATGTCATTACCAACTATGCAAACTAAAATATCTATTTTAAAACTATGTATTGTTCATCCCAAAACATCTAGAACTGAAAAATGCATAAATCTTCGACGGATGGATTTGTTAATCGCTTATTTAATAGCAGGGCATCATTTCAAAGTCTTAAATTCCTTAGCATAACCAAGTTGATTCAAAATTGCTTGTTTATTCTTATCAGGTCGTGACTGTTGAGCAACTAACGTCTAACCTTCGCAACCAGAAAAAAGCAATTATCCCCATCTATCATCTCAATGATAATTTCTTGCATAATTTGTATTCTTTACTTGCGAGTATATTTTGAATTATTTTACTCGTCTGATTTCTACTTCTAGTATTCTCTCATAATTATTACCAATCATATTTTAACTTTTTTTTGTCTTCATATTCACTGTTTTATTATATTTTATTTTTATAGAACGTACACTTTTAACCGTCTTTTTTTGTTAAACAATTTTATTATTAGAAAATATAGACACTGAAATAACAATCATAGAAATTATAAGATTACGTAATAAGAAGTGTCCAGATAATTGGAAGCGAATATTAGAAAAATTATAAGTAAATAATTGATGGGGGGGGGTGAAGAAAAATAAACGAAGAAAGAGTATGGAAAATAAGATTATTTGTTAAGACCAAGGGAGGGATAAGGGTGTTACAAATTTCTTATGAACATAAAGACTTGGGTTGTTGGATCGAATTCCTATAGCTTCTGCTATGTGTAGGAGACGAGATCGAACCCCATAAGGAAAAGTAGTAGGAATACGATAAATAACTTTAAAAGACTGGTTTCTGTCAACTTCATGACCGCTATCAATCAAGTGTGAAAGAATCGAGCTCCGTATCGACTTGACCATACCTTTTCCTAACCACGAAGGAAGGTGTTCACTAACTCTTTGGTTCAATTACCTGGTAGTGCGCCCAATATAGCTTTCTCCACAGGAGCAGCTGAATTTATAAATACACATAGAAGTGGCATAACCAGGCAACTTGTCCTTTAGTTGGGGAATCACCATAGATCGTGTCGAGTAAGACAGAAAGAGGTCGGCAGCATTAAACGTTCTCTTAACTGCTTTAGTCAGTCTATCCCGTAGTACATCATCAGCTGAATCGCCGTTGAATTGTAGTTTCAGGAAGAGTGGTTTCTTCGCAGCTGTTGATATCTTTACTTTCTTATTTGTTGAATGTAAATGTTTCTTCAGGAATCCTAGTGGATAACCCCTTTCAATCAACATATTATGGATAACCTCTAACTCATTGTTGATAGAATCGACTGAGCAAATCTTCCTAGCTCTATTTGCCAAACATTTGACTAAGTTCCTTTTATAGTAGATAGGTACGAAGCTTAAGAAGTGTGTGTACTGGCTAGATGAAGAGCTTTTCCTAAACGCACTTCTACTGATGGAGCCGTTCGCTTTTTTTATTAACAATACGTCAAGGAAATTTAATTTATTATCTATTTCTTCTTCACATGTGAATTTAATAGCTTGGTGTTTATTGTTAATCTGTTCGAGTAGTTCGACTTTGCCAATGTCCTGATCCACAATAATAAAAGTGTCATCAACGTACCGACAATAGAAGTCAAGCTTGTTGATAACATCTTTGAGGGGTCCATTCTCTAGTTTCGCAAGAAATAGTCCGCTAGGATAGGACCTAGAGGTGAACCCATCGCTATACCACCAATTTGTTAGGAAAAGGTATGGTCAAGTCGATACGGAGCTCGATTCTTCCACACTTGATTGATAGCGGTCATGAAGTTGACAGAAACCAGTCTTTTAAAGTTATTTATCGTATTCCTACTACTTTTCCTTATGGGGTTCGATCTCGTCTCCTACACATAGCAGAAGCTATAGGAATTCGATCCAACAACCCAAGTCTTTGTGTTCATAAGAAATTTTATTATTCATAAACATGATCACTTTAATTACTTACATCTACACTTTGATTCTGATTACATCATAGTAATTATTGTCTTTCCCACTCAGGTCAATATTTTTTTGTCATATTGATTTTTATTAGATTGTAAGCAACTATAGAACGACACATTAACGCTAAATGGATACATATTCAATTTTGTATTAAAATTGTTCGTTATTCTTGATCCTTTCACATTTGCAACTCCGCCTGTAGCTCCTCCAGGGGCTACTGCCGGTCCCAAGCCCGGGTAAAGGAGGAGGGTTGGGCATGGGGTTAGCGACCCCATCCCGTAGAAAATCAACTCGCTAAAAAAACGCTAACCAGAAAAATTCATTCAAACCATTCAAACTCTGCCCTGGGAGTAGAAGGAAAAATGACGTCTCATGATGAAAGCCGAGTTCCTTCGGAAGTCATGAGGCCGATGCACCTTCTTACAACCAGAGCGACAATTTTTATAGGTACATGGAATGTCCGGACAATGTGGGAGACCGGAAGAGTCTTCCAAATTTCTGCGGAAATGAGGAAATACAACCTGGAAGTGCTTGGAATCAGTGAAACACATTGGACGCAGGTTGGACAACAACGACTGTCTTCAGGGGAACTTCTGTTATACTCCGGTCATGAAGAAGAAAATGCCCCACATACACAAGGAGTGGCACTGATGCTGTCTAGAAAAGCACAAAATGCACTTATAGGATGGGAATCTCATGGACCGAGGATCATCAAAGCCTCCTTCAGAACAAAGAGAGAGGGCATTACAATGAACATCATCCAATGCTATGCGCCGACCAACGACTACGATGAAGACGCTAAAAACCAATTCTACGATAGGCTGCAGTCAATCTTCGAGCAGTGCCCAACCAAGGACCTGACCATTCTAATGGGAGATTTCAATGCCATGGTTGGAAAGGACAACACTGGATACGAAGACGTCATGGGACAACATGGACTGGGAGGAAGGAACGAAAACGGTGAGAGATTTGCAAACCTATGTGCCTTCAATAAACTGGTCATAGGTGGCACCATATTCCCACACAAAAACATACACAAAGCCACTTGGATTTCACCGGATCACACTACACAGAATCAAATCGACCATGTCTGCATCAACAAAAAGTTCAGGTGGACGATGGAGGATGTGAGAACCAGGAGAGGAGCTGATATAGCATCCGATCACCATTTGCTGGTCGCCAAGATGAAACTAAAACTCAAGAAGCACTGGACAATTGGGCGGACAACATCACAAAAGTTTAATACGGCCTTTCTTCGAGATGCTGACAAACTCAACGAATTTAACATAGCCCTCAGCAACAGGTTCCAGGCCTTTCATAACCTACTCAATGAAGAGGGAACCACCATAGAGAGCAGCTGGAAAGGTATCAAGGAGGCAATCGTTTCAACATGTCAGGAGGTTCTGGGCCAAAAGAAGCACCATCACAAGGAATGGATCACTGTTGGTACACTGGATAAAATTGAAGCAAGGAGGAACAAGAAGGTAGCAATCAATATCAGCCGAACAAGAGCAGAAAAAGCCAAGGCACAAGCCGAATACACAGAGGCAAACAAGCAAGTGAAGAGGAGCATCAGGACCGACCGACGTAAATATGTGGAAGATTTAGCGATGACAGCGGAAAAGGCTGCAAGAGAAGGAAACATGAGACAACTGTATGATACAACAAAGAAACTTGCTGGAAATTACCGTCAACCAGAAAGACCAGTGAAAAACAAGGAAGGCAAAGTAATCAACGATATTGAAGAACAACGAAACAGGTGGGTAGAACACTTCAAAGAACTCTTGAATCGACCAGCTCCACTGAACCCACCCAACATCGAAGCAGCACCCACAGACCTCCCAATCGATATTGGCCCACCAACAGTTGAAGAGATCAACATGGCCATTAGACAAATCAAGAGTGGCAAAGCAGCGGGACCAGACAACATCCCGGCAGAGGCACTGAAAGCAAATGTAACAGCAACTGCCAAGATACTCCACATCCTCTTCGGTAAGATTTGGGACGAAGAACAAGTACCAACAGACTGGAAAGAAGGACTTCTCATCAAGATACCAAAGAAAGGCGATCTGAGCAAGTGCGACAACTACAGAGGCATCACTCTCCTCTCAATACCAGGAAAAGTCTTCAACAGAGTATTGTTAAACAGGATGAAGGATTCCGTGGACGCTCAACTTCGAGATCAACAAGCTGGATTTCGTAAGGATAGATCGTGCACAGATCAAATCGCAACTCTACGTATCATTGTGGAACAATCAATCGAATGGAATTCATCACTCTACATCAACTTCATCGACTACGAGAAGGCATTTGATAGCGTGGACAGGACGACACTGTGGAAGCTTCTTCGACACTACGGCGTGCCTGAGAAGATAGTAAATATCATACGGAACGCCTATGATGGACTAAACTGCCAAATCGTCCACGGAGGACAACTCACCGACTCGTTCGAGGTAAAGACCGGTGTTAGGCAAGGTTGCCTACTCTCACCCTTTCTCTTTCTCCTGGTGATCGACTGGATTATGAAGACGTCAACATCTGGAGGAATGCACGGGATACAGTGGACAGGCAGGATGCAGCTTGACGATTTAGACTTCGCGGATGATCTGGCTCTTCTATCACAAACGCAACAACAAATGCAGGAGAAAACGACCAGTGTAGCAGCAGCCTCAGCAGCAGTAGGTCTCAATATAAACAAAGGGAAAAGCAAGACTCTCCGATACAATACAATATGCACCAATCCAATTACACTTGACGGAGAAGCTTTGGAGGATGTGGAAATCTTTACATATCTGGGCAGCATCATTGATGAACACGGTGGATCAGATGCAGATGTGAGGGCGAGGATCGGCCAAGCAAGAGCAGCATACCTACAGCTGAAAAACATCTGGAGCTCAAAACAATTGTCAACCAACACCAACCCCAGAATTTTCAATACAAATGTCAAGACAGTTCTTCTGTATGGGGCAGAGACGTGGAGAACTACGAAAGCCATTATCCAGAAGATACAAGTGTTTATTAACAGCTGTCTACGCAAGATACTTCGGATCCGATGGCCAGACACTATCAGCAACAAGTTACTGTGGGAGAGAACAAACCAGATTCCAGCGGAGGAAGAAATCAGGAAGAAGCGCTGGAAGTGGATTGGGCACACTTTGAGGAAATCACCCAATTGTGTCACAAGACAAGCCCTCACATGGAATCCTGAAGGTCGAAGGAGAAGAGGAAGACCAAAGAACACATTACGCCGAGAAATAGAGACAGACATGAGAAGAATGAACAAGAACTGGAAAGAACTAGAAAAGAAGGCCCAGGACAGAGTGGGTTGGAGAAAGCTGGTCGGCGGCCTATGCTCCATTGGGAGTAACAGGCGTAAGTAAGTAAGTAAGTTTCACATTTGCAGGCCAAACCATCATATAGTTTAGCTGAATTTTTAATGATGATTCCCATCACACACTGACGTTAGATGGAAAACAATTGAAATCAAAATATCACTGAATAACGGCTGTTTCCTTCTAGGGCTGTCAAATTTCGATATTATTATCACTTTGCATTACGATCCTGTGAGTTGGGTCGTGGATGCACACTATGAAAAGTTCCAAGTTTTGTCTAAAGAACTCTCTAGTATTCCTTGATGTGATGTAAGAGTAGATTGAAAGGAGTGACTAAACCAAGGCATAATATCAATTCATAAAGTAATTGACTGTTGGACTGAGCTGTTTCGGTAGGTGCAGAATACTTCATTGAGATCCGTTTAATTATCGTAACCAATGGTTGGAAACTTTGTTTGATATTTCTCAGAGTCGATCTTACTGTCACAGATGTATTCACTCTTTGCTTCACCTTGAATCTTCAGTTTTAAAATAATCCTTCCCTTTTTCACCAATTCATTCTTTCCTCTTGAAACATATTGTGTATCCGTAGTGCTTTCTATTGTCACTAACTCCGTTACTACATACTGCTTCGCAATTTGTCTTGATAGTTTGATCTCGCTGTAATAATGTTGTACTGCAACGTGAACCGATATATATATATATATATATATATATATATATATATATACCCGTCAAACCCCACGTTACTTTTGACTAACTGACCTTAGTTTTCAATAATCCTAGCTAATGTCGCTTGTGGATGAAGACCATGCTAAGCACTGTATTATAATAATAGGAAGAAATGTTAATGTTCCCAATAGATATAAAGCTATTGATTTCATTTAACTTTTACAATCGATAAATTGTTCATTTCGTAATTGAATAGCCTTTCTCTGTGTGTGTTTTCTAGGTGATTTAGACGAAGAAGAAGAAACTGAACGTCTTTACAATCAGAATATTTCTTTACATACTACACAAAACAATGAAATAAATCAACGTGCACATACTCATTCTACTAGTCATTGTCGTCAACCTGTTGCACCAGATTTATCATTAAATTCATGGCTTCAGTCATTGAAACCAGTGAATTTTAGTCAACCATTTCAATCATATGAATTAGATTTAAAAGTACAACCAATTAATCGACCAACACTTGAATCTAGTTTATGGCCAGAACATATATTAACTCAACCTACTGTGAAACCACTTGTATTTCCTTATACTCATATACCAGAATCAAATACCATAATGGGATCGAGTATTCAACGTTCAGTATTATCAATACATAATCCAGCTTTAAAAAGAGGCAATCTTCAAGGACCCAGTGGTGAATTAATGCGAAGTCTAATACCTGCTTATGAAGGACTTTCCAGTGGTCTCTTACGCATGAATCCACCGTCATTACAAAATGATCAAATTAACGGTGAATATGATATCAATCATCATAATGGTATCAATACAGGTTTGCGTCCAGTTATACGAAGTTCGGGCTTACCCAATTTATCTCGACGTGGTGTAAGCTTTCCGATATTACCACTTTTCACTTCTTCGCTTTTTCTTATATTGAATTTGACTGATGAGTATGAGCTGTGTACTTAAACTGAAAGCTATGGAGAAGATCACGTGTATTCTATTTAAGATCCATTTTCCATGTTGAAGTTTCTCATACCTGTCACCTTTGATCTCAATCACTCCAATATATATATATATATATAAACCACTTCACACCACCATGCAAAGTGATCATAATAAGACAGATAAGTAAATACAAATAACACTTTAAAAGGTAGCTGTCCACTAAAGTATTGGGCGATGCACAAGTTCCTAAAAACTTGCATTTAATCAGCCTTCGAAAATCCAAATTTTGGAGCACTTGATTCAAATATACCCGTGTGGTTTAAAAATTCGAAATGGTGAATTTAAAATTTATTTATATGTTGAGTTTAATTGCATTCTTGGGACATAGCATATATTTCTCAACTAATTTCCGCTTAAGACTATTTCTACGTATAGTTAAGTTAATTTACCTGTTATGTTTTTACTGGATATTGTTTCATATCCATCCATTTCCATGGTAAGGAAGAGTTCCATTCTAGAGTAACTTGACGGTGAATCGCTAAATTATTTGACTTTATATCAAAAGTGTAGAAAAAGCTCACACGGACTATTTAGTTTTGTGTATGTGAATAAGCACCTAACTTTTGTTTCCGATCTATATTTCTCTTTGAAAATCCACTTCATCCCCACCGTTTGCTTATTCTTCCTGTTGTCCACAGTGTTGAGCTCAGTAATTCACAGTATATAACACTACTTGAGACTTGAGTCCAATGATGTTAGGAAACAAGATCCGCTGTTTCAGTGGGAGTAAAACGTCAAAACCTATTCGTATCTTCTGGCTCATGATATTTTACACGCGAAACCTCTTCTGGTTTATCTGGGTTCGACATGTTTCTTCACATGAAGAGGGATTTCTGTGTGATCTGATCAACCATTTTTTCTCCCAATATAGCCTAGATTTTTAAATCATCAGGTTTACATAAAAGTTCTTTCATACTTATTTTCTCTTATAGCCTCGTTTAATGACTCATTCTTTGTCTGGATTTCGTCTTCCACCTAATCCGAATTTACAATTTTTAAATCAAAAATCTAATTCCAATCAAACAGTAGCGTCTACAAATTCACAAGATAATAATACTATGTCAGAGAATAAAGTGCAAAATATTTCACCTGATCAAAACACTACTGGAAATGCTAATTTAGAATCGGCCACTATTTCCGCCAGTATGCAAGCTTCAGTGGATCGGTTATTCTCACTACATGGTCAAATGTCATCTACTTCAACAGATATGAATAGTTCTATGGCAGATCATCATGAACATAACATATCTACAACAGTACGAAATTCAATGTTACTATCTCGTTCTACTGCTATAACAGGAGGTCAAATGCAATCAATTACAGAAGAATCACCTCATTCATCATTTGATCCTGTTAATAATGAACAATTGGCAGTGAAACAATCTGTCAGTGTTGATGATACTACCAATCATCGAAAATCTCCATCATCTTCATCACCATGTAATAGAACAATGTCTGGTAGTTTATCACCTAAAGAAATGGTTGCATCAATGCAAAGTTCAATTATTATCGATATAGAAAGTGGTGAGTGTGCTGTTTTTGTGTTTATTGTTCATTAATTAGTTCTATCGTGCATGTATGTATTATTCAGAATTAAAGGAAATCTCAAGCATATCTGTTCAAGAATTCTAATATCTTTGTTTAATATCATGAAAATCGAATCAATTACCTTGTTGGGATTAGTAAAACTTTCATTCAGACGCTTAACTCTCATCTCTAAAATGAATTAAAACTGAGTAAAGAACTAAACAAAGGTTATCATTTGTTCATCATCCAGTTTATTTATTCAAACCCATAAAAATGTTACAAAGGTGCACCAAAATATATTTGCGCCTGGGTGACCAAACCGAAGCTGGTGGTTTTCTTAAAAGTTCACTCGCCGAACCTTTGATCTCGAGATTTAATTCACACGGCAACAGAGCAACGTTAGGAAATGCGGTCCCATGGTAGCCGGTGATCAACAATAGGTTTATACTCTATTTGTTCCCTCGGGATCCCGGAGCCCATGTGCACCATAAGTTTAGAATCAGGGTTTTCCAACTCCCCCAGGTGGATGCTCCTTTTCAACCTACCCGGTTTTAAGCGCTGAACATTCGCTTTTTGTCCTCTCAGTTTCGTTAATAACCCTCGTGGCTAAAAGGGAGTGATTAAGACTTCCCTGTCAGTGGCTGTATACGTGTGGCCAAATGTGAGCATTTCGAGAGAGTGTGTGTGTGAGTGAACCCTCACCACTCTCTACCGTACCAGAGCATTGGGAGGTTAGTATCGCTAGCGTCATTCAACTCTGGGGATTCGAGGCTTGGCATAATTGTCCTTTGATTTCACTTTAAGACATCTATCCTCACTTAGATTATACTTATTATCTTGATTTCTGAGGAATCCCAGACTAGGTCAAAATATCCATCCATTGATTTTAAATATATCCATAATTCTTCGGCGTATTTCAACTGTTATTCAAGTAATTTAAACCATCAATTTGATGTAAGTTCGTGATCTCCAGATTTAATTACTAAACACTTGTCCCATTAAGGCCAACAATGTAGTTAATCTATGCTAACTTAAAGTCAACTTCGACATGCTTTTAAATGATTCAAAATTACAGTAAGATAAAGTTCCCTGAAGTAGATTAATTAGATCTAACTAACGAGTATTGCCGACTTATAATACAAGTGATCATTAAATACTCATCCCCACTGATTAGTATTTCCCGAACATTTGTTTCATAACTGTTCACTGATGTATCTGTCTATCATAAATAAACACACCACGTTTTAGACATAATCGTTAAAATTTCAGAGATTCAGTTACCTCAATTTATTTCAGATTAGTTTCCTTGTTCAAGATGTATGGCATTGTAGAGTGGATTGATGTTGCATATTCGGTGTTGCTACTCTCTCTCTCTCTCTCTCTCTCTCTATATATATATATATATATATATATATATATATATATAAGGCTGGTTATATGATCGTAGTGTATCATGATCTGGTTATTAGTCATTCGTTTGTCTTTATACAGAGAAATTGATCTCTCTCTATGTGTGTCTGTACATCTCCATGTCATATTTTACTGCCAGATCGGCTAGATTAGACATGTTTTTCATTTTGTCTTTTCGCTTCACTTATTTTCTCATTTTATCCCGATCCCTTTTTTTGTATACATCCATTTGGAAATAGAAGCATTGTGTGTATTAGATAAAAGATAGTGTATTCAATAAAATTCTACCTAAAATGCTACAAGTTTTTTCGATCATTATATCATTTACAAGTGTATAATGCCCTAAAAACGCTGGAAACATTTCATGCAGTCAACATTGAATAGAAGTATCCCAGAAACATCTAGAAAGCGAAGAGTAACATGTCACATTCCTGATTGGGTGACTACCTATTCTGCTACTATGTTTAGTAGGGTCGTAAAATCTTCCAGAGGCTCAAGGCCATCTGAAATACTATAAGCACCCTCAATTTTCTGTACATTAACTAATCTTGGAATAAAGCTTTCTTCCCATATTTTGCACCTTTTCTCTTGTGTTCAAGTTGTCGTAAATATTTGGTCTGGGGTTGTTGAAAAAGCTTGGAAAACCGATTCAAGCTTTCAATCAGAAGATTTATCACAAATATTTGTGGCTAAATGGATTGTTCATACATGGTTTTGTGTTTATTAGACTAGTTAAATATTGTATCTAGGTTACTAGGGTCAATTTATATTTCATATTTTGTGTTGCTATGTTGAATCCATTAGATAGAGTCTGATTACCACAGTTATTCAATCTAATATTACGGTTGTATAGGAATTCAGGTCAAGTTTGTGGATATGAGAACATGGTGTAGTGAGTCAGCTGGTAATCTAAGCCAGTTGGTTATTACTAACGGTAATAATACTACTCAGGTCACTTTCATAAGTTAAACTGTGGGTGAGTTAGTTGTAAATGGTCAGTATTCGACAACAGAAATTTCTACAACACAATTTGTCCTTTTCTTTCTAGTGAGTTTCGTTAGAACTGTGTTAGACATTATGAGTTGTGTTACAGATCATATCATCATTTCTTATGGTATATACTCTTTGTTTATGTATTTTTTATTTGGAGTTTAAAGTCTTTAAAATTATCATTTTCATTATATTCAAGATAAAGATGGTCATAAACTCGGTTCACATGCTGGTGATTTACTGCATGAATTTCAAAAACGTCGTCTTGATAGAGAAAATTCTCAAGTGCTCAATACTACTACTACTACCGGTGCTAATAGCGATGATCAATCATGTTCAGTTACACCTGTTAGTTGTTGTCTTTCGTGTTTTTATCTTATATGCACTACCTCTTTATCGTTTATGTTGTCATTATTGAGTGGATAAGTTATCAAGTGGATAAGATTATTTCATTATTCTGTAGCTCTTGAAATGATGGAAAATGTTTGCAGCTCAGGTGATTGATTTTGGTACTATTGAGTTCTCTGAACTAGATAATTCATTTACGGAGCCTTTAATTTTATTTTCGACAACATCAACAGGGTCTACTTTATGTAAAAATGAGTTTTTCAGTTATAGATCCGCAATTAGTAGACACTGGAAAAGATCCAGTCTATCAACCCATGTAGTAGCAATGATCAACTAATCATAGGTCAGCTTAAAAAACACAATCAATATTATTGCAAAAACAAATAAATACTACAAAACCCACGATGTCAACTAATCAAATTCAAGGCCATTAAAATGAACTGATGTAACATTTGTCCAATAGCTGAAAAGCTCATTTCTACATAAATTAATCGCCGATGTGGTCAAGAACTACAATGAAGCTCCCTACTAAACCATCTAGCCCAGAGAACACAACACTACCAAAAATATTTCGTTGAAAATGTTAACGGTTTTAGCAGGCATACATATTTATTTCTTAGTTAATTAACGTTGCATTGTGTGTAGCCTAACGTTATCACTCGCAAACAATCATATTATGCAAATTAAGTAATAATCTGACTAAAACAATATCACCATCTCACAAAATTATTGATTTTTCTTAGACTTATAATAAGAGATTGTTAATATATCGGTTTATTTGACTAATATAAATTACTTATATCCAATGACTTAACGTGGTATTAATGTTGCGCAGAATTAATGTCATTTGTTGTTGTTGTTGTTGTTGTTTAGTTACACTCAATGTTCATCTTATTATTTCTAATTTAAATCTTTAGGTTGAACTGGAAATGTTATACTAATTTATTTCATCAATATCTATTTTTCTGCCTACATACTATTGAACTTTCCTACAGAAATTATTAATTCTCATTTAAATCTCTGTAGGTTGTGATTTATCAGCCTATGATAGTCAACTAATCTAACTTTATTCAAGCAAATTCATCATATCTATATAATCCATTGCATACTACCTCTCTTTTTCACCTATAATCCTGAATTGATTTAAATCCCATAAAGAGTCATATTTTTGTCTCGTTTAATTACTTGATTTTATTATAGAGGTTCATTTATAAATACTCACTTCTTAGTCGTAAATTATTTTCTTTCTACTAAGCAATAAGAATAGCTGGCTCGTAATAAGGAGTACATAAAACAGTTATAACACTACTTATTTTATATGATCAATCAATTTCAGAAATGTTTATTAATTGACCGCTTTATCTTCCAACTTTATCATGGTGAAATGATAGATGGACAGATGAATACAACAACTGTTACATCAATCTAAGTTATTGTATATGATGCGATAATAAGTGAAAGTCTGTAAAATATGATCTTCAACATCAATAAATAAGTAATAAATTGATAAAATGTAAAAAGCTATTTTGGATTTATTGCCAGATATTTAAAAAAGACTAACGTTTACATTATTGTGATCTGATTTTAGTTATGATATCCTAAGTAATCTGTTCATCGACTTTTTACTTTTTTTCATAATCCAGTCATGAAAGCAATTAATACATTCATTCCGCCTATAATTATTTAAAACCATTTCATCTTTTTTCTTGGGTTTCCGTCCATGTGCCGATAGTGTTCTCTACCCTATCGACATGTTGAGGGCTCTGTACGCAAGCACATGAGACAGGACAGGGCCGTATAAACGATCACCTATTTCATTTATTCCTATCAAACAATGTTACAGATGTCATCTCAGTGGCTTACATTTTTAGACTAATTGAAGAGACTGGAATGGGTTGAAGAAAAGGTAGGTTTGTTTAGTTTACGACATGGCGTCCTGATACGAAAGCCAGTTGTATAGGACTGACATTTGCCAGTTCATCACGACTCCAACGGGGTCCTGCAGATGATGCAACTCAGTAGCTTAAGTTGTTATTGGATAAGGTTCAAAATAAAAGCCAGTGGCAATCTAACTGTAGTTTCCTACCACACTCTTCATGGTAAGACAGATGTGCTTCACAAACTGGTAGAAGCTTTCCGTGGCTTTGTGTTTAACTGAAATGTATCTTAATAAACATTACTTCTGTTAACTTCTTCAGTGGTAGTACTACTACTACTACCCTTCTCTTCAGTTATTCAAAATACTATCTTATTTCTGTGGGGCATATTTTTGTGCCCTGTCGCTCCAGAATGTATGTGCTCTAATTAAATCGATTTTAAAAAAACTATGACGTTTAATAAACTTGTCCAATAACATATTGTATTTCATTCTTGGACTCAACATCCTTGATGTTGGAAAAACTGATTGAGCCATCTTATGTTTGCTTAGTTTATCAACTAACTTTGTTTTTCTTTTTTTATACACAGATCATTAGTCAAGCTCCAAAAAATCCTACTCAGCTATCTGAAACTATCGAACCTAGTGTAAATGAAAAACCATCTATAGTTCATTCTTCCTTACAACCTCAGTCACAACATACTGACATGGATAGACCATGTAAACTTAATGGTGAAGTATCGAACACTGCTGATACCAGTCCCCAAACTCCACGTTACATACCTGTAACAATTTTAGAAGATAGTCAACCAATACGTTGTGTTGCATTTCATCCATCTGGACGTTTATATGCTGTCGGTTCGAATAGTAAATTTTTACGTGTATGCCAATATCCTAGTGTACAACACCTTAGGTGAGTTTGTGAACAAGCTTTACTTCAACACTTATTCTGTTTTTTCTAAATGAGCGTGTAAGTTAGACCTATCAGATCACTTTAGAATCGAGATGATTTGGGTAACTATATTATCACTGATTGATTCATGACAAGAGAAATTACCACACAAGTAGAAAAACCTTGCTTCTAAGTGGACATTCTAAGGTTATACATGCCATAATCGCAAATATCAATGTACAGCAGTTCACTATGTAAGCTTATATGGCATATAAGTAATAAACTTACATTACATTGTATACTACCGTGATCATTTGAATATATATAAAAAACATTCGACAAATGATCTACTATGAGATCTGTTCAATTTTAGTTGCTCGTTGTATTATCTGTCATATGTATTTCTTATATGTATTGGATATTACACTAGTGCTCTTCATCCCTGTTATTTATCATCCGTTTATTTAAATAGAGCGACGTTTCTTCTAGTAGTTTTTATCCTCTTATCTGTTTCGGTTACCTTCCCATGACTTTACGTTCAAGTCTATAAAATGTTTTCTTTTTTTCATGACCTAAAAGTAATTAAAAAACATATGACTAGTTTTATTTATCCGTTGAATCTATTACACTCCAATTATCGTCCCAAGTGAAAATAATTTCTGTCATGCAGTAAGTATATTTTAATGTCTTTTCTTCTAGTGCTAAGCATGTAGCTACTTCTCCAGTAGTTCTAATGAGACGTCAAAAGTACCACAAAGGTAGTATATATTGTGTTGCTTGGAGTCCTGATGGTCGTATTATCGCAACAGGAAGTAACGACACTACAATTCGTCTACTTCAAATGGATCCAACAACTGGCATACCAGATGCTGCTTGTGGTGATCCAGAAATTGCAAGTACTGCTGGACAACCCATTGAACTAAAATATCATGATGGTACAGTACGAGATATTGCATTTCTAGTAAGTTTTTCACGATACCATCTTGATTGTTATTGATTCAGGTTACTTGATATGGTAGAAAATAGATTGAAAGTAAGTGTATCGCTTTAAACAGTTGTCATATTGTAGGCTAACCATGAAGTCAGGTATTAAACGACGAACTGTGTTTTTACTAATCAATAAAGATGCGACTAAAGTTGATGATTCTTTATTGGTATTCAATTATCAAACAAAGTATTTTACGGTATAATAATTTTGTAATGAGTTTAAATCGTTCGAACACAAGACAATCTACAGTATTCATCAGACTATGTGTTTATGTGTTTTCTCATAAAAATTCAAGATAGCGATATTACAGTAAACAATGTGCATTCATTTTTGTCTGGCTATTAGTTTAATACAACTATATATTGTAAAATAAAAATAAGAATACATAAACTGTATGTAAATTAAATAAATCAACCAAGATCATGTGAACTCAAATATCTTATAGTTGGTTACAGGTATCTATTTGACATACTACTGGTAATGTGGTGTTGTCTACTTATATCCATATAAGTAGTATATGGCGTGGGTCAGACATAGAATGTATTTTCGCAGAAGACCGATGAGGAAAGAACTGAAATGAAGCGCAATCGTTTGGAAAATGCATGATGAATGGAATAAGAGAAGAAACAGTGAAGATTGAAACAATTGGTTATTAATTTGCAAATTGACTGTTCATTGTTTGGTTATCAGAATTTACCGAGATAGTCTGTAATGTTTGCTTAAATACATTCGATTGTCCCCAGTCGTGTTCTATTCACTACAGTAATACTGCTTCTATACATCTCCCTTGAATAGATATGATGTCTATCAAATAAAACGCTTATAAATATTTAATTACAAAATTAATTGTATGAAATTATTTAATCAAATAGGTAAAATATTGTAAACTGTTTATACAAGAATAATCTCTTATTTCTGTAATCGAAATTCTAGACAGTATAGAAAGAATTCTATTTCTTCTACAGTACAGTACACTCCGAAATCAATACAGTAGTTGATAACAATTACCTTTAAAAACATTCAAAAGTATGATTATATTCAGGTATTACAATCGCTGTCTGCAATCTGCTTATTTTTTTCTGTATTAATTCTTTAAAAATAATGCGTCCATCATTGTCAACTTCCTATCCATAAAAATCTCTTTCAATTAGTAGACATTGTATATTCGCGCGCGAGACCAAAGACCCTGGGTTCTAGTCCCTCATGCGGGGTCGTGGATACGCATTGCTGAAGAGTCATATATTAGGACAAAATGGTCGTCCAGTGCTTCCAGGTTTTCAATGGTGGTCTAGCTTAGATGGACTCATGGATTCAACTATTTAGAAAGCTGTTTGAATTCATCGTCTAAGGTGTGGAATTCACTTATTTCTTTTTACCCACTAATTTCATACTAAAATGAACTACTGTTACAAACAATTCATAATCAATTGATTAGTCTCTGATTATTTTTCACATTTAAATAATTACACTCTCACTGTCTGATCAAATTATCGCAATTGATAAAAGTTGGATGTTAAAACACACCAAATGAAATCCTGTAATCTATCGTGTTGCCAGTAAATAATAATAATGTAAAACGTTGCCATAACGACTGGGTCATATAACTTTCGATCAATACGTTACAGGTCCTAATTCCACCCCATCACTTTCTGTTTGCTCAGTTGGACTGTATTTCTAACCCTCGTACGCGAAGTAGTGTGGCTCAAAGTCAAATACGCAAACATTTGTATAGTGAATAAGTTACATTACATTATAAAAAGTGTACAATTAAATAAGTTTTTAACAAGTTACGTTATTCCAGTAAACTTATTTTAAATTTCATTGTTTACTTTGTTTTATAAATTAAATCTAGTTAGGAAGTTATCCATGTTCAGATACAGTTACAAGCGCACCAAGTAGTCATTTACTAAGTGCTGGTGCTGGTGATTCATGTATTTATCTTGTTGATTGTAATCGAGCCCAAACATTTGATCTATCTGCACCGAAGTCCACACCACCTAATTATGTTGTACGTTCAATGTCTGGGCATACAGCTGCAGTTTACTCATTATCTGTATGGAGTCCTGGTTCATTGTTTGTTTCTGGTAGTGCAGATGCTACTGCACGTCTATGGGATTTACGAGCTCCAGCGCCTGTGTTAATTGTTCCATCTTATTCAGGTTCACAAGGTGAGTTCTGTCTATTTGTGTGTATATGTACATATGTTAGTTTCGCCCTCTATCGCTGTACTAGAAAACTGAATTCTTATTTTATAAATGGTTCAGTAGTGATCTGAGACTTACTTACTTACTTGTACACGTTTATGGCTGTAACATAGGATCCAGGTTTTCTTTCAAGGTTGTAAAGTGAGTGGATGATCTCTAATTCTCCTGAAAACCAATGTAAATTTACACTCCAGCTGTGCTTATCTACAATTTGAATCTAACTTAAACCGATCCATATATTTACCATATTCTACGTTGATTATAACTGACTAAATCGACAGAAATCCTTCAACCTATATGTGAAGCTTGTAATTAAAGGCTAATATCGACGCAATCTGCTCACATTACATATATGTCATCAGAGACTGTTGTGGTACATTCCTGAATATGAACGACGAGAAATTACAAACATTTATTACTAACTTCACATCTGTTGATCAATTTAATGGCTGTCTGAACCCAGTTGAAGTTTGAAGCGAAAGGTACAAGATTCGAGTTTTATTGTGTACCCGAGTGCTGGGATCCAGTTAACGAATCTTAAATAGCACTTACTATGGGTCTTAGTTTCCACTGCTTTTTGCATACCAAATTCGCTAATGTGTGTTGATGATGTCGTCTCAGTCAGTCAGATAGAACGTAGGACCAGGCACATATATGCATCGATCCAAGTTGCCATACCTCATTAGCACAACAAGATGAACACCGAGTTCATAGAAGTAGTTAATTTAGTGGTGGTAATATATAAAAGAAAGATTGTATATAAGGATATAGTACAGGAAAGAAGTATGATATAAAGCAATTTTAATCTCAAGGTTTAAGGGAAGATAAAGAGCGTATACACCTACGCCATTGTGATCGATTCTGAGCCATATCACTTAGAGTCTCCAACCATTGGCTACTATAGTCAAGATGATGTCGCCTAGAAGTTCAAAGAAAGCTTAACAATCGAATCATCCAACTCAGAGGACAGAACACCTCCAAAGAGCATAAACATTATAAGCTGAAATGCGAAACGTAAATAATAACTCATCAAAATTTTGTTAATTTCATAATTACTTTTTTAAAATTTCGTAATCATATTATAAAAACTGTAATGGAGTGTTGAATTTTGGATCGATTGATTTATGCATAATGATAGAGTATATAGTTTCCCAGTAACAACTGCCCATGAGATTACATTATTGACACATAAGGCTGTTAAATCCATTGATATGCTAGGGCAACACGACTGACCAGTGCAACAAGCTTTTCTTTGTAGACTGATCCTTATACACTAAATATTTGGCAAAAAATGGAGATAATTAATTGTCACTGAAGGTGTAGGGGATTGTAGGACGCGAGTTTTGTCCAGGTCATTCACTCTCTCCCTAATGAATGTATTACTTAATTATCAGATCAAAATTCTTGCCCTACATTATCATAAATAATAAGTAATAATATTAACATATACTGCAACTGTTCAATTATTTATGTTTGTCATTCCGTGATTAAATATATTAGATTATATGATTCGAAATGGAACTTCATTTGTTTATCTTCATATTTGAAGTATTTCTATCGATTGATTTTGTTTGATTGTACTTATAATAACAACCACAGTTAAAAATATATAGCTAATCTTACACTGTTGTTTACATTGCTTAGTCACTTCGTACATATATGTGTATAGCGGTGGTCTACGAAATGTTCATAGGAAAATATGGAATACGCTTTGCGGATACCATAGTTAGTCTATTTGAAGTAAGCAATTTAATAATGTCATAGACAGCAAAACCGAGATATCTTCAAAACCATTTTGTTCACCAAAAAATCGTTCGGTACCGTATGTCTAATCATTCGACAATGGGCACGGTAATATGTGTTAATGGCAAGACAATAATTGTCATAGATAATATTAATGTCCCTATCCATCAGTGGCTAATATACGTGGCTGTGTGGCGTTGAATACACCTAAAGGCGCATCTTCAGCTAAAGCAACGTTCGGAAGAAAGACTCACACTTCATTTGACACCATATATCCACAAACGAAAAAGCGAGACTATGAAATGTGAATTATTTCATTGTTACTTCTTGTTATATAAAAAATCGCTCCCAAAGCTCTTTTTTCTCTGTCTGATTATCTGCTTATTGTTGCATATTTGTCATCCTGTCTATTTGAGCGTTATATCCATACGCATTTTGTAATCATCCTCCATTGTACTGATTGTGCAACTCAATCTAATTATAACAAATTATATTACCTAGTTATTTCATTCTTTTGAATTTGTTTTCTTTATTCAGGTAGTGCATTTGCTTCAGTCACTGTTGAACCGAATTGTAATTTACTGGCTAGTGGACATGAAGATTCAACAATATCATTATTTGATTTACGTGGTGCTCGTTATATCAATGCGTATAGACCACATTCAAATGAAGTGCGTAGTGTACGATTCTCACCAACTGCTTATTATCTACTATCAGCTAGTTACGACAAACGTGTTATATTAACCGACTTTCATGGTATGATCGATGTATTATGTTGTTTCTCTCTCCTTTGTTTTATCATAAATACTGGTTAACTTTTGCTATGTAACATTGTCTATTTATTGAAAAACAATTATAGTTTTAATGTTGATATTGATAATATAAACATAAAAATTTGAAACTCATCGACGGTCTATTTTCAGATTATGTAAATTTACTGTCTAGAGTTATTATATTCTAATAATAATAATAATCCATCGGATGGAGAATGCTGGTGGGCGGTCTATGCTCTTCCACGAGGGGTAACAGGCGTAAGTAATATTGCGCTCTTTCGCTGTCTAATCCAGTCACTACCACCTTCTTAATTTTCAAACCGATGTATCGATGCAGCTGAGAATGTCCAAAACTGTTTACATAACTTTGTTGCCAAACAAAAGCAAATATTTATATTTACAACTCATACGTATTATATAAGTCCCCGATCATTCCAGTGTTCTTATCATGATTAATTATTTCAAACTGTAAGGATCTTATAGTACATTCAATGTTGTTTCACCATAAGCTCTTTATAAAATCTGCATTAAAATGTTTAACTGTTGATGAATAAGTCTATTTTTCTCCCTTTTCTAACAAGGTTTTATTATGTATTTATACAATTTACAGTATAAATCGCAGTTTTACGTATGCTGTTCTAGTATGTTTAATGTCTATGTTCAAACCATCAGTTCATTAAAGTTATTAAACAAAGTGATCTGTTTTTTTTATTTCTTCCAAAACTTGTGTTATTGTCCATCAAAATATGTAGGTGATTTATCTCAACCATTGCCTTGTGTTCAATTAGCTGAGCATACGGATAAAATTATACAAGCACGTTGGCATCCTTATCAATTATCATTCATTACTTCAAGTGCAGATAAAAGTGTTATTTCATGGGCATTACCTACTGTGTGATGTGACATATATATATATTCTCCCAATGATCTCTTTGCTTCTATAAATACTAGGATAAACTTATTCATTTCTATCTCCTCATATACATAATTTTTATTGTCTGTTCCACATGCCTTCTTATATATAATGTATTCAGCATCTGAATAATTTTTTTCGCTGTCGTGTTTATACTAAATGATTATTATTATATCCTTTCACCTACATACATTGAAATCATTTTGTAATGAAGAAAATTTATCGTTTGTTTTGTGTTACCCTAAATTGTGTATAGTGCAATATAAACGCTTGATATCCTGGTGGAATTTATGGATCATATATTATTTACTGTTTCTTATTGATGTATCAATGTACTCTTTTTAAATAAGCTTGTTTCAGTTTGTACTTGTATTAATTTTTTATAGGTATATGTTGACTTGCTTTCAGTGTGTGTAGGTTTGCTTGACTTTTCAGCTATAATTCCCAATATAATATTCAAGAGATATATGTATTCATTATGTTTTAGTTTGTGCTATTAAAATTTTCATTGATTATCTTTCAGCAAAAACGAAATACTTTTCAGCTTATTAAAGTTTTGTGTGCATATTTGCTAAATTTTTGCACTCTTATATGCTGCCTCAAATAGCAAAATTCTCGATTATACATTGTATGCATTTCTACTGTGATATAATTATCTTTCCTTTTTACCTCCTTCAGCATTATCCTTTAATTGTTTTGTGTCATTTCACTTCATGCACTCACGGTGTTTTAATATTGTTGTTATTAAGTTTTTCTAAAATAAAACAACTTAATTTTATCACGTATTTAGCACGAAATTGATCCCTGTCAAATATATGATCCGTGTTGGTTAATCAATCAGTTGCTTCGTTTTAATCACTTTAAGTAAATAAATAAAACTTGTTCCGTTTAAATCTAAGTGGTAAAATAGCTCTGGTACGGCCGATAATGGGGATAGTCCGCTCTCCCTCTCGAAATGTTCTCACATGGCCACGCGTATATAGCCTCTGCCAGGGAAGTCCTACTCACTGCCTTCTCGTGGTGAGGGTGTTGTTTACGAAATTGAGAGTACGAAAAGCGAATGTCCGGCGCTTTAACCGTCTTGGTGGACACGAAAAGTTCACCTCGGGGAGTTGGAAAACCCTGATTCCAAACCAATGGTGCACATGGACTCCAGTATCCTGAAGGAACAAATGGCGTATGAATCAATCGTTGGCGACCGGCTACCATGAGACTGCATCTCCTCACGATGCTCTACTGCCTTGTGGATCGGATCTTTAGGTCAAAGGCTCCATATGTGGCCCCCTAAGAAAACAACCCGCTTCAGTTTGGGCACCCGGGCAGTACCACAGCCGTCACACAAATCAAATAAGATTTGTGCGGCGCATATAATATCTGGTGCCCCTTTGTACCAATATTTATGTGTTTAAATGAATATATAAATAGTCAATAACAAATTTTCACAGTTGAAATCATGAGTCAATTGGAGCTAGACCACCATCGAAAACCTGGAAGCACTGGACGGCCAGGTTTTCGATGGTGGTCTAGCTTCAATTGACTCATGATTTCAACTGTGAAAATACTAAATTCTCCACAAAACCCCCTCTGATCAATAACAAATTTGTTAACTCAACTTTGAGCAGCATTGTGCACATTTTATGTTCAAGGGCTATTAATAATAATCGATTGCCTAAGTCGAATCCAGTGGAGCAAGATTCTAATCTGTCAGCTAAGCTCTCAACTGTTTCACGTCCGTAACGTTTCGATGTTAACAATTAGGATAAACTGTCATAATTGAAATAACATAAGAGATTGTTAGATGTCGTAACTCATGGCATATCCGAGCTCTACATTTGTCAAACAAAGTACAAATATACTAAACAACGGTGTTGTTTGTATCACTCTGACAATAAAAGTCGGCTTATGATAACATGAGACATTCGTAGGTTCCTGGATTTCGTTCACAGATATCTCTGGAGCATTTCTGACATACGTTGAAACCACCGAGTGAGCTATGTTGCGTTTAGAGGCAGGTAAAGATGGAAAATGGATTGGCGCAGTTCTGATGGGGATGTATAACCGCCAACCTTGAAGTGCAATGTTGGCAGCTGTAAGGGCGGGGTGGAATAAGCAAGCAACGTTTAAACCAAGACGACATTGGACCATGAAGTTATTGGTCCCCCGTAGGTCCATACAATCTACTTGTGGTCCTTGCGGTTTTCAAAATCAATGACCGCTTTCTGTCCAATGAAATTACTCATCTTTAAACCCTCTTCTTTCTTGTAAGTCCAACCATCGTACTTATTACGGAAACATGGTGCAGATCATCCATGTCCGATCACTCCTTGCATGTAGATAATTACATTTTCTTTAGGACCGATGGACTTTATGGGATAGGAGGAGGTACAATTATCTATGCCCCGTCAGGCATTCAGACGTATAAATTTGAGAATGAATCTCTTGATGCTGTAGATAACTCCACTTGGGTCACCGTAAATCTAGGATCGCAAAATTATCTAGTGGTGGGATGTGTGTACAGACCGCTCCATGGGCATACCGACTTTAACAAATTGCTAACAAAAATATTTTCATTGCCAAGTATTGTTAAACATTTTTGTGATGGTTTACAAGGTTCGAATACGTCGACGTTAAGTGTGTGGTCAGTTATATAAATGTTATGACTTTTTCCAATTATCTGTTGCACTGTAACTGGGCATTGAAGTGACAGGAATTTGAACGGTGTTATCCGATTCTTCATCAGCACAACTACTTAGGGTTAGATCTAAATCAAGATATTTAGGAGGATGGGCACCACCTACATTAGTGTTGCTCTTTTCTAGGTTCCGAGCTTTAAGAGATTCAGGAGAGTTTACTAGCAGTGGCAGATTTGTAGAGTCAGATGTTCTCTTGTAATCAGACTTATTTTATGACTTTTAGGTTTATGGTGAGTTTGAAATTTTGACGCTAGTGGTCTGTAACTAGCCCTTCTTGCTTTTTGTTGACATAATATTCTATTTGGAAGAATCTTAAAATCGTTGGAAAAACATTTCTGTTTCATCTTATTGGAGGAAGGCAGAAACTCACTGGCGTCTGCAGACGAGTTGAATTTGAACGGGATCAGTTAGTGCATACCAGAGTGTAAAATTCAAACTAAGGTTTGGCTGAAGAATAACTGTCTCGGTAGTTTAGATACACTATATTCTTCAATTGAAATCAGAAGAAGGTATTTGGGGAAATAATTGTTTCAAATTTCGTCATAAATACAAATTAACATTATTACCTACACAAATATAACCGCTCAGTTATTCAACCATTGATTGTTTCCTCTGTTGTATTCTAGCGAAGACATGAGTACAAGTAACTTCCGGGACCTATTAGTGGACGACTATTCCATACATATTCTTATTGTTTAACTATTGAGTAATTAGACTGTGTATATCTATATCCATCTTATTATAAGCTTCATTTTGATCTATAAATTATTATTATACGACTTACTGTCCCTAAATTATATATCAGTTAATCGATTATTGTCTCCCACTTTCACAGCCACATTTGGCTTGATCTTGTGCAAATATTATTTTCTATTTGATGGTGTGATGCAGTCTGTTTTGTCTAGCATGTAAACCAAGTATGCTTGAAATAAATGAATCGCATAGCAGAAGCTGCAATTGGTGTTTTTGGACTCAATTAGAAGGGCTAGGCTGACGAGGGAACAATAAGGACGCTAGATTGCTCATTTGGTACAGTGTTGGGATTAGACAAGTTGTATTCTGATCGGCGGATAACTGACGTGATAAAAACCGGACATAAAATCGTAACGAATCGGCATACGTCCTATTTTTTGTAAAGTCATAACACCCTGAATAATCGATCTAAATTACAATAAATAGGCAAATTGATAAGGAATATAGGAAAATTGCCGAACGCAATAAAATATGTTATTCTATCTTTTATGGATAGACCAAGTAAAAATCCGTTCAAAAGATAACAATTTGTTGCTTTATAATACCATGTGTTTCCAAATCTGGAAAAGTGCTTCAATTCACAACCAAAATGAACGATCACAGTCAACTCAAGCAACACAATGAAAGAGGAAAAGTCAATGTGGCTGACGCTTAGATTAGGTATCATTTAAAACAACAAAAATACAGTTCAGGAAGAAACATAGAAACTCATTGAAGGCAAAATAAAAATGAGAAAAACTATACTATAACAAAATAGTGCCATCTCAAACGACGTCAAAAAGACTAACAAAATGTACAACTAAAGGAACCAATAAGAACAAGTTGCAAATGTATGCATGGAGGAATTTTCACACACAATACATTCAAAATGGATCTTACACAGAGTGACTTCTTTTTAATATTGTGCATACACATGGTACATGTATCATATTGCTGGCTCTATGCAGACTAGACGTGATATTTTTAAGGGCATATGTGTCCGGTATATTAAAAAACACCACGTTACTAGACCATCTTATTCTTTCAAATACCTCTGAAGCAACACGATCTTGGAAATTATTGGTATGATTCATCTGATCTGGAGTCTCTGAAAGGTTGGGGTTAATGAGATACTGAATCGGATCGAAAATGTTCATGTCAACTTGCAGCTTTCTTATATCATCCATATGGTTGCAGTTGTGATTATTATTGTTCTTTAGCAATACAGTCTTCGACATATCTGGAATGGCGATAACTGGTATAAGCTTATCTGCTTCTGGATGGACATAGTAACTGCGGGAAATCGTGTCGGTAGTGGTGTTTGATAGTATTCTTTTCCTACATTTGGCTATACGCCTGAGAGCAGAGGATATCAACTGTTTTTAAGGCATGATAAGAAAGTGGTAAGTAGCAGTTGGATTGAACAAAGTGTTGGGAATAGAAACGGGTACGAAAATCAAGGTCGAAAGCTCGAGACAGCTTCGAAATCGAAACCTGTGTTTGAATCGAGAGTGAATTCATCGTGATGATTAGTGAAAAGGTAAAATACAAGAGAGGAAGATGGCAGGAAGGCCGTAGTGGAGATGGCATAGAGGACATTTTATTTCAACGAAAATACCGGGTTATGGATGCCACTATAATCCATCATGAAGAACTGCCAATTAACTTGAGTTGGATTAATCTCAGATTTTAACAAATTGTTTAATTACTGTGTGCGCATATATATGTAAGTGAAATACAAATCTCAGTAACTGTTTAGTACAACCGATGGACACAGTGATTTCACATATATAATGGCTTTATGTGTTGTTGCGATTACTCACCTCCAACTTTCTAGAGTGTTGCTAACAACGTATAAGTCAGAGAAGGAATATATCACTAAATACAGTCGATAAATAACAAGACAATCAAGACGCTGCTACGTCATAATAGTTCGACTGGACTACATCACTCAGCAAACACAAAATGATGTTGTAGCTGTAAATAATTCCCCAAAATCAATAGTTCATTAAGTGTTCGACATTGGATGCTGACCACGTTGTTTAAGTGGACTTGTTTAGCTGAAGGCTTTCGGTCATGCATCCGCACCAGATCACGTTTCAACACGGCGTGGGACACAGCTCCTACGTTTCATTAGCCAGCTCATAGAAAAGGTTCTCGATATATTGGTAACGAATAGAATATATCTTTCTTGCCTCTTCTCGTCTGACTTCTGATTTCTATCTGACTGGGAACGATCAAATATAGAAGGTGCTACTGGTAGCTAGTTGTAAAACTAGAATATCCGTTGCATCATCATTGGTGAACCTGACGTGATCTGGTACACCAAGTCAATATACTGTGAGTCTGTTCCATTTTG